CAAAAGAAGACTATAATTCTCCAATACCAGACCCCAAACAATAGGAAACCAGTGAATAGCCTGATGAGGAATTCAAAATGGCAATATTAAGGAAACTTAACATGATGGATGAGAAAACAGAGAGAAATCACAATGAAGTTGTAAAAGCAATCCAGGTCATATATGAGAAATTCAATAAGGAGATAGAAACAATAAAAAAGAACCAAGTAGAAGGCCTGGAACTGAAGAATTACTTCAGTGAAATAAAAAATACAGCCAAGAGCATAATCAACAGGCTAGAAGAAGTGGAAGAAAGAATTTCTGGACTAGAAGACAGGCTTTTTGAATTAACACAGTTGGACCAAAAAAATGAAGAAAGCCTACAAGACCTTTCTGATAACCTTAAGTGTACAGAGATCTGTATTACGCATGTACTGGAAGGGGAAAAGAAAGGAAAGGCATTGAAAGCTTGTTTGAGGAAATAATAGTCAAAAACTTCCCAAGTGTTGGAAGAGATGTGATCTTACAGATCCAAGAAGCTCAAAGATCCCCAAACAGATTCAACCCAAAAAAGACCTACTCAAGACACATTACAGTCAAGTTGTCCAAAGTCAAAGATAAACAAAGAATTCTAAAAACAGCAGGAGAAAAGTGTCAAATCGCCTATGAGGGAATCCCCATCAGGCTAATTGCTGACTTCTCAACAGAAACCCTACAGGTCAGGAGAGAGTGGGATGACATATTCAAGTGCTAAAACAAAACAAAACAAAACAAAATACTGCCAACCAAAAATACTATATCCAGCAAAGCTTTCCTTCAGAAATGAAGGAGAAATAGTATCTTTCTCAGACAAACAAATATTGTGGGAATTCACCATCATGAGACTGGCCTCTCAACAAATCCTGATGTGAAATGGAGAATTACTGCATTTAAACTTAAGATATGTCATCTAGAAATATCGTAAGGTCAACTAGTAAAACAATAGTTTAAAAATTGTCAGAAGTGTCATGCAGTTGTGCTTCCATTTGGTGGAATTTGTACTAGAAACACAAAAAATAATTCTGCAAAGGACATTTTACTGGACTACTCACTTTGAAGTGAGTACCTTCCGTGCATACTGGATAAAAAGAAAGATCTGAGATACAGGTATTAAGAGGGAATTCAGTGGCTGGGCTGTGACCCAGAGACCAAGTATATATTTGGCAAAAGGACAGGAAGTTTTGGAGGATTTTGAAACTTAAAGCACAAGACACCATTTTGTCTTAAAAACAAACAAACAAACAAAAAATAGCTGCTGAACTCAAGGTCATGATGAACATGAATTTCTAAAGATGCTTGTGTGGCCATGGGATATTAGGTAAGATCTCCATGTTATAATATGCAGCATGGATGTAGAAAGAGACTAGAAATGTTCCTCTAGGTTGAGAAAGCAAATTTAAAAGAAATGACTAAATAAGAGTAGTAAATAGTTATTAACATAATCTTTTTGTTATGTAACACAATAGTCCTTTTGGTGAAGATTCTAAACCTTGCACAAAGTTTTTCTAATAACATTTTCCAAGATAAAAAGCCAAACATAAGAGAAGTGATCACTTTGAAATTATCTGAATTTGTAGCAATATACAAAGACTGTGAGTTTCTTATTGTGTTTTCATTTACTTTAAAAATTTCATCCATGTATAATCTATTCCACTGAATTATAACAATTATTAGAACCATTAAAATTGTAATTATTTAAAAACTAAGTTAGTCTCTCCCAAAGGGACAATTTTTGAAGGCAACTTCCAAAAATGAGTGAAATAACTAATTAATCCCTCCTGAGATGAGAGGGATGACCCTCACTCCACTCCTCCTTCAACCCCAGGTCCATTCTTTCAGGGACTAAAGGCAAAGTCATAGTGGGCCATGATTCTGGTTTTTAGAGTCTAACATCGTGATGTTCAGGCAAGTGTCTCTGAGGGAAATACCCACTTTTTAAAAGCAAGAACAAACAAGGTGTTCCTGGGCCAAGCACCTAGGGCACACCCTTGTTCTAGGAGTGCAAACAGTAACCATTCTATCCCCTGAGTAACTGGAAGTTCATAAATTGATGGGACATTTTTTTTTTAATTGAAGTCAACATCAAAATATTGAGTACAGTTTTAAGGAACTGTTTACTTTACTATTTACACATAGTCTATGGAAATTTTGTCCTTAACAATGCTAAATATTATTAGCATCATTTCAGAATTCAGCTTCAGAGTGATCCAAATATTTTAAATGAATGAATGAATGAATTTTGAATTGGTAAATAAAAATAGTATGTATTTATGGTATACAATATGATGTTTTGATACAAGTATACATTGTGGAACGGCTAAATCAAGCTATTTAACATATGTATTACTTCACATACTTGTCATTTTTTTATGGTGAGAATATTTAAAATCTACTCTCTCTCAGTGATTTTTGAGTATACAATAGGTTGTTGTTAAGTGTAGTTGCCATGATGTGTAATAGATCTCTTGAATTTATTCTTCTTGTGTGACTGAAATTTTGTATCCTTTGATCACCATCTCCCCAAATGGGTCAAATACTGATGCTAACACACACACATGCACACACACGCACATGCACACGCACACACACACACACGCACACGCACACACGCGCACATGCACACACGCACACACGCGCGCACACACACACACACACACACACACACACACCCCACCACCTTGAAGAGGTGTTCGTCACACCTTATCTTTGCAGTAACATTTCAGAACAGTTAGCCCTTCTCTTCCTTGACTCCCCCATAGACTCCACCTCTGTTTAGTTCTCCTGACGCTCACCCTTGGCTTCTATCGCACTACAGACTCCTGATGCAGCCCCTTGCCTGCCATCCTCCTCTTGCCCACCTTTTATATTTGAGTCCTAGATTCTCGTCTCTTCTCATCTATACTAGCTCTCTGCAGGATTTCCTCTGGGACTGTTGTTTAGTTACCAGCTACCTATATGCCAGTCACTCTAGCATCTGCATCGCCAGGCCTGAGATTTCCTCTCAGCTTAAGACCTGTGTATTTAGCTGCTGACCTGAAATGCCTACTTAAATGTGGGAAAGGCACTTCAAACTCAAGGCTCCTGAAACACACTGAAAACCAATACCTGGACTTTAAAACTAACCTTTTTTTGGTGTGTCCCTGTTTCAGGAAATGGACCACCATCCAACCATTTGCACGATCTGGAAGTGTGGGAGTCACCTTCAACTCTTCTTTCACCCTCACTGTCTCTTATTTTATCTAAATTATCAAGTTCTACTGTGTGCATCTCCTGAATATCTCTTGATTTTGTCCACATTTCTGTCTCTCCTACTTCTGTACTCCTAGAGTAGTCTCTTCTTATACTCTTTGAGTTGTTCTCTACGTTGCATTCAGAAAATCTTTTCAGTGTATATAGACGCTCATGTTGCTCTCTGTCTCCATACCCTTCAATGAATTTCTATTACACTTGAGATAAAAACTTATGTGGCCTGCCTTAGGTCCCATGTCATTTTAACCTTGTGAGCCTTTCCAGTCTAATCTCCTTCCGCTTTCCCTCTTGCTTTCTGTACTCCAGCTTCAAAGATCTTTCAGTTTCTTAGCTGGAATATTCTTCCCTCCATCTTGAGATTAGTAACTATTCTCTTTTCTCTAAGTGAAATTCTTGCTGCAGCCCCTTCTTTGAGTAGTTTATTCCCACTCATCCTTTACATGTAAGTCCATCTATTACCTCCTCTGGAAAGCCTTCCTGGATCATCGCCACCTGCCCTGACTTAGCAAAGTCCTTCTGTGAAACCTTTCCATGATTTGGCGATTTCTCTCAGAACACAGTCTCAGCTTACATTGATATTCTAATGTGTTTCATTGTTTCATTAATACCTGTCTTAACCTTTAGTCTAAAACTCTAAGAGGGTAGGGACCATGTGTGTTGTTCTCATTTTTATTCAAGCCCTAACACAGTGCTTGGTACATGGTAGCATTAAAAGGATATCTTTGGAATGAATGAATGAATATGAGTTTAATGAGATTCAAAAAACACTGCCGTGTTCAGATGGTGTGGAAGACACTCTCACTATCCTCAAAATCCAGTTTCTCCAATAATTGCTGACTGTCGGTGGACACATAAATCCTGAGAAGTGAGGTTGTATTTGTGAGCTTTCCTTGCAGCTACGTAGGGTTATATGACCAGTTCCTAGTCACTGGGATGTAAGAAGAAAGTGCAACATTTAGAAAGTGTTCTTAAAGGAAAGCGATGTGCTTTTTTCCAAACATCTTTCTCTTTCTGCTGGCTGGAATGTGAACAGAAATGCTGAAATTCTAGCATTTGTCTTAGTCCATGAGGTGATGGTGAACATGGAAGCCATTCAAGGAGAAGCAGCAAGAAAGAAGGTGCCTGGGTTCAGATCCCTATACTAACCAGTAACCCTCTCCCACTGCCTTTCCCCCAGAAAGAGAGAGAGAGAGAAAGAGAGAGAGAAAGATCCCAAGACCCTGGCACCAAGGAGCAACTTTCTAGTCTTGGATGACCACACACAGATTATGGGAGCAAAATATATAAACTTTTATTTAAAGCCCTAGATTTGTGTTTTCTGTTACTTTGTCAAACCTAAATCTAATTACAATTTTCTATTTTTACAGCCCTTGATTAAAAAACCACTTTTTATTATAAAATAATTTTAACTTACTGAAGAGCATAATACAAAATACTTCGGGTCTACTTTAATCTATGATCCTTTTATAAGAAACTGAATTATATTACAGTAAGTTTCTGTACTTTTAATTTGGACTACTAATCTCTCCTAAAATGAATATGAAAATAAGAAAAGAGATTATATTCCCACAGATGGAAACAACACCATGCATGATCTGTATGCCTTCCCTTGCTTTTTCAGACAACGTTGAACCTAGAGTGAAAGGGCTAAGGATTATTATGCTATTTTAAGTATCAGAAATCCCTGCAGCAGAACCATTTGCAGTAATGGCTCTGAATCAAGTTCTACAAACAGTGGCGCTGCGTTCACATTTCACATTGCCCTTTGTTAAAGCACTTGCTCGTAAAAGTGCTGCCCTGGGGAACACTGGCTTGGGTGGTGATGAAGGTGTCCCAGCTTTTCTGCCTCTTCCTGCTGGCATAACAAAGAAGATCAGCATCTCTTTGAGGCCTTTTACAACAACTGTTAAAACCGCTGTAGGTACCTATATTGACAAACCCAATTCTTCATTTATGAATATGAATAATATATGAATAAAAATGGACAACCAAGGGTCACCAGAGATTTGAGGAAAACTAACACCTTTATATAAAAGATGAAAACTAATCAAGTAGAACGAATCCTAGAGGAACCCAAGATAATGCAAAAACAGAAAAAAAAAACTTCACAGAGCAAGAACAAATTGCTACAAAAATGAATAACCTGAGAGCAAGAAAAAAATCTTGGGAATTAAAACCATGATATCTAAAATTTAGAATTTTAGTGAAAGGCTTAAATAATAAAATTAAGGTGGCTGAAGATAACTCCCAAAACATAAAGCATAAAAGACAAAAGCATATAAATTTAATAGAAAAGTTAGGAGACATGGAAAATAGATTCAGAATATCCAATATCTGTCTCTCCAGAAAACAACAAGAGAGGGAATAGAGGAGAAAGTAAAGGGGATCATAATTTCCTGCTCTATCATGTGAGCATCTGAGCCTAAGATACACGACCAAACTAAGAACCAGGTGTCTGAAGAACAAAGGTAACACTATATTCAAAATATACACGGTTTTAAGAACCAGTTTTCTGACCTAGTACAATGTGTCAAAGAAATAACTATTGGATATTTCTCTGAGCTGAAAAAGGACTGTAGTTTTAAAGAGCCCAAAAGTGCCAAACAGTAAAAATAATAACAACAGTAAGTACCCCATCAGGATGATCAGATTTAGCAAATAAAGTTACATACGTTTGGGACATAGTTTTTATTTTTGTTGCTTATCTGAAATTAAATTTAAGTGGGTGTCTGGCATTTTATCTGGAAACCTTAATTTAAATCTATACACATTTAGATGAAATCTTTGAACCCCAAAGACGAAGACAATCTTAAAAACCAACAGAGAATGGAATGGAGAGTCCTAGCAAGTCACCACAGTGAAATGACTCTCAGACTGGCATCAGACTTCTCTTCTGAAGCACAGGATGTTATGTTTGGAAAGATGCTAGAAAGTTCTGAGGCAAAAGGATTGACAACCTGAAGTCCTGCAGTAGCCAAAGTGTCTTTTAAACCTGAGGGTAAAATAACTACTCTAGGGGTAAAAATCCAACTCCTGTGTAAGAATGATCTAAATGATGAAATATAGGAAGAATTTCAATTAAAACCAGGACCTAGAAAATCAATAATATTATCATTGATGGTTTTCATTATGGGTACATACATACAGAATAAGACAATATAATTTAGAAGTTAAACATCGCAAAGGAAGAGATAAAGCGAACAATTTTTATGGGTATGACTGCCTACGAAAAATTCAAATTTAACTAATTAAAAAACCACTAAAAGTAATAGGAGAATTTAATATAGCTATTATATACAAGGAAGACATGCAAACATTAATAGTTTTTCGGTCTATCAGCAGGATCCAATTAGAAATTTTAATGGAGTTTGAGATCTCATTAAAAGTGGAAAATAATGATAAAATACCTAGAAACAGGCTTAGCAAATATTGTGTAAGATCTTTAAGAAGAAAACTACAAATGGCAGAAAGCATGAGAAAGGCCTTAATCAATGGACAGACACACCATAGTCTATAAAAAAGATAATCACTTGGATGATATCAGTTTTCTTCAAATTAATTTATAAGTAAATTGCATTCCAAGTCAAAACCTACCCCCTCTCAGAAAAAACTTTATAGAACGTCAGAAGCTGATTCTATGTATTTCTTTGGAGGAGTATCTAAATGAATAAAAAGAGTGGCAAATATTTTGAAAAAATGGGACATTCTAACATTCTTCAACATCACCACTTTAAGTAACAGTAATTAGAACAGTGTGGTGTTAGTGAAGGAATGAACAGATTGAACAGTGAAATAAAACCAAGGAGTTACAAAGAAACCTCTGCATATATGAAAGTCTATTTTTTTTTTCCTTTTTGTCTTTTTTCGTGTCCGGCAACGGATCACAACCCTCAGTGTCGCGCCCGTACTGGACCGGGACCGGCAACGGGATCGCAACCCTCGGTGCTGCACCCGCCCCTCGCTCAGCAAGTGAGCGGGAACCGGTCTGTATATGGGATCCGAACCCTCTGCGAGAGTGCCGCCACACTCCCAAGTGGCGCACTGTAGCAGTGCGCCACCGGGCCAGCCCCTATGAAAGTCTATTTTATTTTATTTTATTTATTTATTTATTTATTTTCAGCAATTTATTTTTTTCATTATTTTTTTTCCATTTTAAATTTATTTATTTATTTATTTATTTTTTATTATTTTTATTTTGTCAATATACAATGTAGTTGATTATTATGTCCCATCACCAAAACCTCCGTCCCTCTTCCCTCTCCCCCTTCCCACCCAAGTGTGTCCCCTCCATTTGCTTGTTGTAAGAACTTCAAAAAAATAAAAATAAATAAATAAATAAATAAAAATAATAATTGTGGTTGTTATATCTTCCTCCAATCCCCCCCCCCGTTTTTTTTTTTTGTTGTTGTTGTTTGTTTGTTTTTTTGTGTGTGTGTGTGAGAGTGTGTGTGTGTGTGTGTGTGTGTATGTGTGTGAATTGATTCATTCACCTTTAGCTCCCTCCAATAAGTGAAAACATGTGGTATTTCTTTTTCTCTGCCTGACTCATTTCACTTAATATTATTCTTTCAAGGTCCATCCATGATGCTGCAAATGACAGTATTTCATTCGTTTTTATAGCTGAGTAGTATTCCATTGTGTAGATATACCACATTTTCCGTATCCACTCATCCGATGATGGACATTTGGGCTGATTCCAGCTCTTGGCTATTGTGAAGAGTGCTGCAATGAACATTGGGAAACAAGTATACCTTCGACTTGATGATTTCCATTCCTTTGGATATATTCCCAGCAGTGGGATAGCTGGGTCATATGGTAGATCTATCTGCAACTGTTTGAGGAACCTCCAAACCATTTTCCGTAGACATTGCACCATTTTGCATTCCCACCAACAATGTATGAGAGTTCCTTTTTCTCCAGAACCACACCAGCATTTACTGTTCAGCGTCTTTTGGATTTTGGCCATCCTAACTGGGGTGAGATGGTATCTCAGTGTGGT